AAATAGGAAGAAAAGGGGCAAAGGGGAAGGGGAAGTGGGAGGGGTAGGGGAGAGGAATGAAGGGAATTTAATTAATATGAGAAAATGAAAAAAATGGAAACAAAGTCTTTGTAAATAGGGAGGGATGGAGGGGCTGAAGGGAGGGCAAGGGAATGGGAAAAAATAAGAACCAAGAAAGATTATGTAAAAGTGCAAATTTCCAATGATGAATGTCATTATATTTCATACCTAAAATGTACCAATAAAATTAAATTTTTTTAAAAAGCTCTAATGAAACTAGGGAGGTGGCAAGAATGTAAAATATTTTATCTGCTTTGGACAACAGTTGAATAGTTTCCTCAAAACTGAAACATACTTACCCTTACAACCTAGCATTTCCACTCCTAGATTTTATCTAGATTAAATTAGAACATATATCTGTGCCAAAAACTTGTACTTGAAGCTTCATAATACCACTTATAATAGCCAATAAGCAGAAATAATACAAATGTCTATTAGCAGGCAAATGAATAGCATACTAAAGTGCCACGGAATACTATGCAGTGGTTAAGAGGAATGGACTACTATCGGATGTGATACCTTGTTGAATGTCAAAAGAATTATGCTAAAAGTGCCAGACATAAGTCTATATATCATATGATTTCACTAACGTGAAGTTCTAGAAAAACAGAATTCACAGAAAGCTGATTGGTGGCTGAAAGAAATGGGTGGGAGAGGAAGTGAAAGTGATGAAGGAAGATAAAGTGATGGAAATATACTATATCTTGATGTGATAACAGTGTACATGTTTGAAAATTTATTGAATTGTATAGTACTCAAAACTGGTAAATTCATCAAATGTAAATTATATTTCAATTTTTAAAAATATCATGGAACTAGGGACTGGGGATTTAGCTCAGTGGTGCTGCTGCCTGCCTTGCAACCTCAAGGTCCTAGGTTTAATCCCTGGTATCAAAAATATATATATATATATATCATGGAACTACACATTATAATGTTTGCAAGATAAATTCTTACCTCGTTCCTAATCTTCATCCCATCCATCATCTTATAGGGATATGTAGTATATCTACATTTGGTAAAAGCAATTTTTTAAGTTGTTTCATTCATCAAAGTGTCTTCCACATCAACATCTGTGACAAATTGATCAAACGAAAGTTATTTCTTTCTTTCTGGACATGTCCAGACAAGGCTGCGTCTTCTGATTTTCAGTCTACGAAACATCCAAAACCCAACTAAAATGTTCAGTCAATGCTCCAGATATTTAGAATAATATAAATAGTTGGTATTATGTGTACTGCATGGATTGAGCCTTTCACTTTTCATCTGAGCATGCAGAAAGAACATAGGAATAACCGGGTGGTGGGTAGATATCCCATCCAGAAATACATTAGACAACTGCATGACCTAAAGAGGTAAATTCAAAAGTGCACACTTAAAGCAAGTCAGGAGATGAGACTGTACCATGAGACTTGGAGATTGTTCATGAGACCTCTGTGCCTCAGGAGTTGATGATGTTGATGGTGGTGGTGATATAACAATGATGACAATGACGATTTTAACAACTGCAGCAGCTATTATTGCTTGAGCGCTTACTAAGTACCAGACTGTGTATTGAGCCATTTACATGCATTATCTCATCTACTCTTCACAATAGGTCTATGAGTGAATTACAGTCAGTACCCTTGCTTTTGTGAGGAGAAATCTGGAGTTTCAAGGGTTCAAGAATCCTTCCCAATTTTACAACCAGTAAATGACAAACACCAGGCTATGATCTTAGGAATGGTCCAGAGAGAAAGAAAGAGAGCAAGGAACAATGGAGTACTGAAAAGTTTGCTGAACACAGCAAGCTGAAGAGTAGGAGATGACCCACAAGGCTGACAACTGGGGTGGCAGGGGGGACCTGAAGGGGAGAAATTAGAGAACTGTAGCTGATTAAACTTTGTTTCCAAAGGACATTTTAGCTTCCACTGTAGTTGAGAGGCATTGAAAGGATTCCATTTTAATCTAAAACAATCTAAGAAAAAAAAATCCAGTGTCCCCTAACTTCAAGATGATTTTCTCCCTTATGACTTTTATCAAAACCATTTTTTTCTTTCATCCTAGGGGCTCTCCCACCAGCAAAATATGGGCCCATGGTGGGTTAAGTCCTCTGTTGTCTTACCACTCCATGCCACCTCAGTGCTGTCCCTGAGATACTAATGCCAATTTGATTTTACAGATGCAACCACAAAGTTTGGATGGATCCAGATTATCTAATTCAACCCTGGTTAGTTGTTTCAACAAAAGCTAGTGAAGTGTGGGATCATTTTGCAAATCTTTTTTTTAATAGCACAACATTTATTGGTACAATTTAGGCATACATAATGATAACACTCATCATAGGGAATTTGCACCTATACATGGTACATCCTGTCCCTTTTTTTCCTATGGCATGCCTCCCCTCCCCTCAGCTCCCTATGAAGGGACAAGAAAAGAAATGAAAATACAAGGAAAAAATGGAATCATTCTGCAAATCTAAAATGCCTTTGTTCTTTTTCTGGCAAAACAAATTTTAAAAAATAATTAAATTGCATATTTATTGATCATTTATGGGGTGCCATGTAATTTCCTACCACTTTGCATGCATTGCTATGTTTGAGTTTCACTGCAGTCTTCCCAGGAAGATACAATTGTCCTAATTTTACACACACAGAAATTGACTTTAAAGAAATTTTTAAAGTACCCAAAGTAAAGACAGAACTGAAGTTAGGGTCTGTCCTCAAGGAACTAACTTTGGGAACAGGCCCTGGCTCTTCACTTCTCCTCCCTGACTTTCCCTTTGACCCCAGACTAGTTGAGGGGCAGATAGTTGAAGGACTCATGTTTCTGCTCTGCCATGTTTCTCTGTGAGTGGAAGTTCAGTCCCCACAGAAGCAGGCTGTGAGGACATAGGCTGTAGTCATCACACTTCAACTCAACTCCCCAGGGTCTCCTCTTCCATTGTTTATGGCTGTTCATGGAGGACTCAATATTTCTAGCATATTCCAGTGCTGCAAAACATTGATATCAAATTCTTAACCTTTACTTATAATAGTCAACTCTAGGCATTTCCTTGGAGCTAGTTAAGAGCAGAAAGACAATTACTAAGAGAAAATCCATGTGAGATTAGGAGGAGATGGTGATCCTGCTCTTGACTAGCAGCTATTGCTTCTTGCCTGGGCACTTCCCACACCACTGGCTTTGCTGGTTTAGTTTTTAGATGTTAGGAGTATGTATGATGAGAAAGGAGTTGGTGCTGAAAGGAAAGGACTTTTCTCTAAGAATTACCTGCACCTCTATTGTTAAAAGCATTACTAAGTAATAATCCATGCTGTAAGGGGGAAGGAATCATGGCTGTGCAGGACCTCATGGATGCACCAGGATGCAGTAATGTCCTATCTCCTGATCTGGCTACTCATTACACAGGTATGTTCAAGTATGTCTGAAAGCTCATCAAGCTGTACACTTGGTACACTTTTCTGTATATGTATTATCCCACAATAAAAAGTAAGAGACTTTGCAAATGAAAATTGCTAATTTAATAAATGAACTTTCTTAATTTTCTGAAGAACAAAACCTAGAAAGAAGTGTAAGTTGAAACTTACTTGAGATCCAGGCCCAGGTGTCTCCTACACTGCTAAAGACCTCAGTGGTGGCACTATCACAGGTTCCTGTTGGTGACCTCTCAGAGCAGCCTTCCTCTTTATGGCTTTGAACACCTCTGATATAGAAAGAGGAAAGAAAGGAGAACAGGAGTCAATTAATTCTGATTCCAGCCTCTCACAGAGACTAGAGCTGCTCCTTCCTGCTCATTTTCCACACTTCAGTTCCAAGTTTGGTGACTCTCAGCACCAAAATGCCTGCCTGCTAAAGGAGAAGATAGTCACCTCTCAGCAGATGGATTCCCAAGAGGCAGCTTTTACCATAGGCACATACCTTCTAAAACTCAGGGCCTCCTGAGTTGGAGCTAAGGAGAGACTGGGAACAAGATATATTCACCAATTCATTTTGTTCTAGTTATAAGCAGTAACCTAAGAGTAATGTTTCTAAGGAGGAATATTTTTTCATCCTCAAATCTCAGGTCCATCAATTTCACCACAAGTTTATGTTAAATAAGATGTCTTGTGTTAAAAATAAATGGACTGACTCTCGGTGAAACAGGAAAAATCAACCAGCATAGTCTCCTATCTGAGAAATGAGTGGGGGAAAGGGAAGAAGTAGGAGATAAGTGAAACAAGATCAACCGGCTATTGATAATTGCTGAAGCTAGGTGGTAGATACTTGGAGATTATTATACTGCTGTTTCTATTTCAAGTAATTTTGAAATTTGGCATAATTCTAAGAATTTCAGGAATGCAACAAAGCATTTAAGGTGAATACCAGATGATTAATACAGACAATAAGTCTAATAAGATCCAAATGGAGACAAATGCTCAGGTTATAGAAAAAAAACCTTTCCATCAAGAAGGAATCTTCTCATAACCAATAAGATTTGATACTGAAAAGACAACTTTCTTTATTTTTTGTTTGGGTTTTTTGGGGTTTGTTTTGTTTTGTTTTGGTACTGGTGATTGAACTCAGGCCCTTGAACTTCAGGGGCAGGCGGCAGCACCACTGAGTTAAATCCCCACCTCTAGAGATAATTTCATAGATGAAAGGTTTCTCTTATGTCAAGTGTTCATTTTTAAGTCTTCCCCGCCACCATGCAGGAGACAATGTTGGATTTTACAGTCAGGCTGACCTAAGTTTGAATACTGTTGTACTAACTTTTCTGTTACTATAACAAAACACTTGAGATAATTAGGCTATAAATAGAAAACGTTTATTGTGCCTCCTGGATTTGGATGATCTAGCAGACGCTTGATTGGCTCCATTGTTTTGGGTCTGTAACAGGTCAGCACGTCAGGCGGGAGCACAGGAAAGAGTGAAACTCTTCACCTCCTGGCTGGAAACAAATGAGAAAGGGTTCTCACAGTTCCATTTGAAGGCACATTCCCAGTGACCTAAGGAACCCCCACTAGTCCCCACCTCTCAGAGGTGCCACTATTTCCCAATAGCACCACCACAGGATGAAGGCTTTAACATTTAGGCCCTTAGGGAATATTAAAGATCCAATTTATAGCAAATAATAACTGTGCTGCTCACTGGTTGTATAATCTCAGTATTTAAAATTTCAAGACTCAGTTTCCTCAATTCCAAAATGTAGAATTATGGGTAACCTAAACATATTAGAGTGTTTATTATAGTGCTTAGAATACAGAATGTGTTCGCTTTTAGCAATGCTTTCATGTTACCACCATCATTGAAATAAAGGCTACACATATGGTATAAAGCACATGAATAATTAATCTAGTATCTTCCAAAGGTAATAACATTCCCTTCCTTGGGAATGGTAGCAGCATCTGTTAGTACAAGATTTACTTAGAATCTATTTGATTTTAGTGATTTGACCCTTTCTCTCTAGTTCATATTAGTTTTCTCTCAGTTTCTCAGTTGTGATGCCTAGAAGGTCAACTTTAACACCCTAATAACCATAATTAAAGGCCTTTTTCTGTTTTTCTGCACTGTCTGGGCTCTTGACTATTTTTCCCTCTGGAAATTATACATTTTTATTATCTTACAGGTGTTACATCGTCCTGGGGTCTCCTTCAGCTTCTTGACCACTTCTTTGGTTTCATTGGCTCCTTCTATTTCTCTTCTCCTTTAAAAATGAGAATACCTTTAGTTTAATTTCGTCCTTGGTCCAGCCCCCTTAGGATGCACCCTATTCTCTTTTTTCTAACATCTCTGTGTATATGAGTCTTGAAACTCGAGCCAAAAACTCACTAGCTGTCCATGCAGTGAAGGACTTTGCCCTTGATCCTGGGCCTTTCACTGAAACTTTAGCTTCTCATTCTTCTCATCTGAGCTCAGCACTGTCTTCTTCCCTCTCGTGTTCCTCTTTTAGTCCAAACTGGTAGAACTGAATCTCTCCTCCCTTCTCTATGGAAAGTATCTCATTGTGACCAAATCTTGATTTTTATTTCACAATGTTGATCATATTCCTACTGGCAGAAAACTAAATTGGAATACTTTGCTTAGGATTATTAAGAAGGACCCTGAATGATTTATTCAACTCTGATCTCTGTTACTGCTACTGCCTCCCCCACATCTAAGTCTAATTATTGCTCCCCACAACACTGATCAAAACACTCTGCCACTCAGGAACCTTCTCTGACTCTCCATTGCCTACTGGATTATATCTCATCTCTCCTTTCCCTATGGGATTATATCTAAAAACTTCATGTCAGCATCTCAGACCCTTTACTATGGACCCCAAAATATTTTCACAACCTCCCCTCATCCTCTACACAAAATATCAACTCCAGACAAATTTATTAGTCATTCTCTTCCAAATACCATTTGATCTTTCCATCTTCCTTTTTCTTTTGCTGCTTTCCCCAGCACAAGTGTGATAATGCATTTGGTAGCTGACCACTCACTGCTTACCAACATCTCTTGCATCATTGCTTACTGTAGTTAATTGCTTTTTGTTGTTTAAGTTTTCATATTTATAAAACTTACATTTTCAATTTGATTGAGCTTCTTTCTCAAAAGGGAGCAGCTTATCCTCTTTGTATCTCACAAAGCATTTGAAATCAACTTCCATCTGGTAGGAGCTCAGTAAATGTTTCCCGCTCTGTTTGTTAACTTCCATCCAAATGAGCTCAGAAGTGCTAACCTCCAAACAGTCATTCAAGCCTGTCCCTCCATGTTCTTTCAGTTAACACCCCTTCATGATGATCTTCAGGACTCCAAGAAAACATGCACCTGGAAATGTGAAATTGTAAATCTTTTCTTGTGTTTATACCCTGCATCCTTCCTCTTGGCTTCATATATTACTATCTGGCAAATTTGGCCTTTATGTACCATTAAAACAATTAAATATGATCTCTAAACATTGAGAGATAGAGAGATTAATTCTGCTAGAGCAATGTGAAATAGGAATTTTCTTTGCATCGCCCTACACAGATCTCACTCAACAAAGTAATAAAAAATTAAAAAAAAAAAAAAGACTTCGTCACCCATTGGTCACCTACTGTTGTATTCAGTTAGTATTATTTAAAATATTGAAGTGCTTTGAAAAGGAATAAGTGTTACATGCTCACTGAACTGTTGGTAAGAAGCTAGATAGTCTCAAGCTATGAAATACTGTTACCTATATGGGTATTTATCCACATACGGATTCAGCGTTTCCCTGACCCCTAGTAGGTGATCTGTGGTCAGTTACTGACCAGCAATCTCCTAATCCCAATTCACAGCCCGCCCACTTGCCCCACCTCACTGAAAGTGAAAGTTCACTGGGTACACCTCCCTGATCCTAACACAATTGAAAAGTATCTTCTCACATTCCACGATCTACTTCTAGTGGCTTCCTGGGATGCTGTGAGGCAAGGAATTCTAAAGCCACATCTAGCTCGAAAAGCACCTGAACTAAACTTTTATTTAAAAGAGAAAAAAAGGCACCTGAACCATGAATTCAGTCTTTGGTGAAGTGAAACTTGAGAGGCTGAGCTGCTCTGCTCTCTTGGTCTTTATGACTATCTACCTGTCCTTCCTTTTCCTCAGACTTAGTCCAGGGTCTGCCATGAAACTGACATCTTTTGAGAATGATGCTTCTTCATCTACTATGCATGTGTGCCCTTTGCCATACCCAGTTTCCTCTTACCTTTCTTGTGGACACAGCCCCCACTCTCATTTGGGAATCTATTCACCTCCTGTTTTTAGTCTATGTGGCTCCAAGAGAGATGACTCATTTTAACATGTGATTCAGGCCACGCACAGTGATCACTTCCTCTCTCAAGAGTTGGCTTTGGAAGGGCCTATGACCTGACAGGGCCAATGATGCACCTCAGGATTTTTAATAAAGTATTCATGAGGGAAATAGTCACGCTTATTGCTTATTGGATTTGAAGCTAAGAACCATCTTGCTCTCACATAGAATTGAGATTTTCAAAGCTGTCAAGAACAAAAAAATAAAATGACCAAGTCAAAATATAAGGATTGCAACAGTCAGAGCTACACTGCTGAGCCCTGAACCTATCATTCCTAAAGCCCTCCCTGCTCTTATCAATGAATTCCTTCTTCCACTTAAGCTGTCTGAGCTTCTATCATGTATAACTGACAATGAGTCCCTGAGATAAACATTTACAAGAACCTACTTTGACTTTTATCAACTGCAAAAGTAATCCCATCTCATGGCATATGAGAAAGGGCTGGGTAGGTGGTACTTGTGCTTATGTTAGGAACTATCACACCCTGGCAGTAGAAAACATAGCAATTCCAAAGCAAAAGTTTTGGGAAGTGACTTCAACATGGATCTGGGTTTTGTTTTATATCATTGCTCTCCTCTGTGAGCACTAACAATTGAGAATAATAGGATTTGTGCTTGGTAAGTCCTTCAGCAGCTGTCCAGCTGGGCCAGTAAGGGAAGTCTGATGCCTGAGTCACCTTTAGAGCAGTGTATTTGGAGTCTCCAAAGCAAGACAAGAGGAAGGGTGGACCAGACAGCTGTCTGAACCAGTAGTTGCCACCTGCAGAAGCACAGGGTGGAACACACAAGTCTTACATACCATGAAGCTTTCCATGGGGATAGGAGGTAATGGGGGAAGGCTATACCTACAAATTCAGAAAGGTGGCCCTCTGGATGGATTGTTCACAAAAGTGTCTACCCTTGCTGGATTTTGGCAGCAGCTTCCATGCATTGCTTGAGTACTAGATCTTGTCAAAATATTGCCCAGAGCTGGGGTGTATTGATGTGGCACATACTTTGTATGTGCAAAATCCTGGGTTTGCACCCCAGTATTAAAAAAATTGCCCAGAGGAATATGTCCATTGTTCAGTGAGTATCTTTGACATTATTAACCTGGAGTTACATGAAGAAATAGTAGAATATTGGCCTTAACCCGATTCTCTTCACTTTATGTTGATATTTTTCCTAACTAAAAATTGTAGCTTCCTGTTTCCCCAAAATCAGGCTCAGAGAACCTCTTCAATATCAAAGTTGAAATACTTACTTCAGCTCCAGGAAAATGAGTTGTGTCTCAACAGAGTTGCTGTTGGGAGGAAAACTTTCTGGGCAACGACCCCAAAGAAACCTCTAGGCAGGGGTCACCCAAGCATCCATAAAGGAAAATCAGCAAATATTCCTCCCCCCCCGCCCCACCCCACCTCTCTCTCAGCTATGAACATGCTTACAAGTGCAAGGGAAGAAGCCAATCAATTCTGAATAGTCTTTGTTCTTCAGGATAAGTTCAAAGGTATCAAAAGTCAGCCTCTGGGGGTAGAAGAAAAATGCTTTCTACTCTGCTGCCAAAAGAGTTTAAAGTCTGAAGGCTCCATAGAAAGTCAAAGGTGAGAACCAAGCAGGAAGTTGAAGATTGTTCCCTGACATTAGAAGATACAGATATTTTTCTGTAGACAAATCAGATTCACACAGCTGTGCCTTTAGAACAATTAGACACATCTAGGAGATCATTAAGGGATGCCAAGAAAATGTCCCCAGGAGAGAAACAGTGAACACTCTGACATCATATGTGCTGATTGGCTTTTTAAATTCTGAGGCTTTTTCACACAGACTTTCCTCAGATAAAAATGTAAGCAGCTGAACCATATGCCTAAGTGTTTTCTGTTTGCCCCTGCCCAGAGCAGCTGGCAAAACATGATCTAGGGCTGATAAAACTACCCTGACAAACCACTTCAGTGGAGTCTGCAGGACCGGAGTCTAAGAGATGTCTGAATTTTTAAAAGGCACTAATTGCTCAGAGTGGAATAATTCTTCTGAAACTTAACCCAGTACCATAATAAGACCCAGAATGCTACTGACAGAATCAGAGACAGAAAGCCTGTTTTCTAACTCCTGCTGATAAATAGGAAAAATGTATCCTTTAAGAATAGGGGGTTGTGGAAGAATGCTCAGATGGGACCTTTTCAGGCACCAGTGAATTGTTCAAAAATGGTCCCCAATCCTACCTTTAGCAACCATGCAAAAAAACAAACAGTGAAAGCCCATTACTAAAGAAGAATTGGAAATGAGGGATTGATCCCTGTTGTACAACCTCTGTCATCTCAGTTCAGTTCTTCCAACATCTGGATCTGTCAGGAAGACAGTGAAGGGACAGGGCCCAAGGTTGTAGATTGACCTTCCACAGAGAACTCAAACAGTCCAACAGGCCCCAGTCCTCTTCTTTGGCGCAAGTAATCGACAGCTGTCTGATAGTAATTTTTCAAACATACAAAATCCTGTTACTAGGCCAGGAACATAACCAAGTGAGGATTAAAATAGTGAGGTGCCATTTGATCCAATTGAGACCTGGGGACTTTGGCCCCAGTCACCATTTTTATACAGCTACAGTGTCTCCACACTGAGGGAGCTTCTGAGTTCACTGCTAATCATTCTCATGCATAGTTTCATCAAAGAATTTGAAAATTGAAGACAAATAAACAACTAGATAATTAACACCCCCCAATCCATCGCAATAGGATCCTCAGCTCTGGATTTTCATTGCCAGTGGCATTTGGGACAAGAATGGATGAACTAAATCAAATGAGGAATGATAGTTTCAGGCTAGCTATTCTATGTCCCCAGGGAACAGTTAACATATTACTGCTCTCAGCAAAAATATGATATAAATAAATAACAACATAAAAACATCCCAAGGTTGTTCAGTATGCACACAAAACATATTAGTCTCTGGCAATATCTCCAGGAATCAATTGAGTATAAAATATCATGCAGAAATGGGGTACTCTTGTGGTAACGGAGAAAGGTAATGATTTTACAAAATACAGCAGTGAGCCCAGGGCCCCATTACCCTTCCCTCTGTTCCCTTCCTCTCTGCATCTTCCTTCCGCAGAGACAACAACGCACAGCCAGGGAGTTGTCCTCCTTGCCAAGATTTCTAAACAGAGAGTGTGATTTACAGATGAATCATGTCTGTGTAGCCCACAGCTCTCAGAACTCAGGAGGGAGCCGCTCTCAGATGGTAATGGCCTCATTACTGATGTTATGGAGGAGGCAGCATGTCTTCTGTAGGAGATAAAGCAGTGTTACCCGTACTTCATAGGGCAAATTAAATTCCTTTGAGCTTATTTACCAACTTGAAGATGGTGTTACTCTCCGTGAGCAGAAGACTCAAAGCAGGATTATGCTAATAACTTATCTTCATGGTCACTGGTGTGACAGGAGGGGCAGTCACATGGGATCTGCTTAGCAGATGCTCTTTCTGCCTGTGGAATATGCTGGCATTCAGTCCTTAGCTGAGGTGGAGGTTTTATTTGAAGGTCTTTTGTAGTGTGTGTTAGCTTGGGGAGGGAGAGAATATTATTATTGCTTTTACTGCTATGTACTATGGAGGTCTTGGAGTTTCTGGCTCACTTATTGTTTATTAAGTGTCTGCTATGTGCCAGGTTCTGTGCTTAGCCTATTTGTATATATTATTTCATTTAAAGACAACAGTCATCTTTTGAGATAGATATCTTATCTCTCCATTTTACAACTGATAATGCTAAGAAATTAAATTTCTTGCCCAAGGTCACATAACATAATAAATGATTGAAAAATTGCAAATGCATATGCATTGAGTCTCTATCCCAGAACCACTCCCCCAAGACTGTATCTTTGTTCGACATATTGGAGCCAGGAATGAGTGGACACTGCATCTGTGATCGATTCCCACATAAACATGTCTGCAATATTCCCATGTAAGAGAAAAATGTGACTGTCAGCATTTGTTCAGCTTATAAATGAAGAGCCT